GACGAGACATATCTTATTTGAAGAAAACTGTCTGATTATTTGTGAAGATGAAAAATTATTGAACTTATTTCAGAGTGCTGAAAAATAGTTTCTCTCAATTGACTTATTTCATTAAGTATTTCTTATGTTGACATATGAAATTAAATTAATATGAAGTGGTCTCACATTATAAACAAATGAAATGATTATTGTTTCTGCATAAAACAAGATTTTAAGATATACGTATTTTGTTTTCCGCCTTCAGATAAACTACGTAAAAGAAATTTATTATTCTTGATGCATGACTTGTTCAAAGTTAACCTCTACTACACAATCCTGACAAAAAAAATAACTCATGACTAGTTTTCCATCGCACTGATGGATTCAAAAAAATATCTATGATGTGTGAAAAACAGAGAAAAAAAAGAGAAAAAGAGAAAAACTGAAAAGGTATTTAATACTATGTCTTCACAATGTATTTGATTTAAAGTTAAATTCATTTTTTAACTAACATTCTTGTTAGTTATGGCGAGCAGAAGAAATTCTCTATTTCTTCTGTTTCTTCTTGTTACACAATCCGGCACACATGATACGCGATCACTTTACATGTCTGCCAACGATGGGTGGCAATTTCAATGCTCTAGCTCAAGTTGCTCACCATTGGCTGTAGTTATTGCGTCAAATATTCGCCAGTGTCAAATGGCTTGTTTAGCTGAAGTCCATTGTAAAGCAATTAGTTTTCATAAATCCTCATCTAATTGTGAATTATTTGCTGATATATCAAATCAAAACGGCAATTTGGTGAGCAACGTAGACACTGTTACTATGATTGTTATGGATGGAACACGATTTCCACTTGGTAAGTGTGGCCACGGTTATTTAGGAAAAAATATATTGAAGAGAAAAAACTCTTTTTCTTTCTTACATTGATCGAACAAAACGATTCACAAAATATCGCACTAGCTGTATATTACGTATCATGAGCAGTATATTCATAGAGTTACTTTTAGAATAGCACACACGATATTATAGTCACAAAAAAAATCAATAGACCACTTCTTTATAGCCTGACTTAGTCCTATCTCTTAGAAATCGATCAAATAGCTAAATGCCAATATAAGTTCATGCTGGAAATGAATTACAAAGTAATTCAAAGCTTTCATATATTATATATATGATATGTGCATGTCATGTTTAAATATACTATATATATATATATATATATATCGATGCATTTGTACATATTTATTTATATAATTAGTATAAGTTTTTAGAAAAGATTTTAATGATCTACTAGGTGTGGGTGTGGGTGTGGGCACAGATCTTTTTCCATTCTCACATCCTTATTAAGGGTAAAGGTATGGAGATTGAAAAAGAGCCGAAACCACGCCCATGCCCACACCTCCAATCTCATTTGTCTAAAACAGAACCGACTACGGCATCAACAATACCAGCAGCAGTAACGTCAGCAGCACTAACATCACCGGCAACAACACCAGCAGCAGTAACGTCACTGGCAACAACACCAGCAGCAGTAACATCACTGGCAACAACAGCAGCAGCAGTAACATCACTGGCAACAACACCAGCAGCAGTAACATCACTGGCAACAACACCAGCAGCACTAACATCACCGGCAACAATCG